TCGTTGCCACCGCCTCCTGAAGCTCTTGGAATCATTGATATCGATCCGAATCATCAGTTATCGAATTTTGAACAATTTGATCTCGAGGAAGATGGTCTTATCGAGGTTGAATTTCTTGGATTTTCTGCTTTTTTATTACAAAATAAACGAATTGTTTTTTTTTAATATATTATCCTTGCATGAAATAATTAGGAGAATGATCAGTCTAAAGATGCTTCTGTCAATCGTACAACAAGCATTTACGTTAGCGATGATGTGTGGAATCAATTAGCGGCTGTTAATGGCGACAATATAAACCCGTTCTTCCTTAATCCAGAAGATAGATTTGGTGGTGCGGGGGTTTCTACTGTATCCCCATTAACTCCAATACAAGAAGTTCCTCCTAGTAGTAGTAGTGTTGGCGAAGATAAAAGTCCTGGAACTCCAGAACAAAGTTCCTCTGCTGATGGCAGTCCTTCACTGGGAGCTCGTACTAGGGCTCTTAGAAGGCCTGAAAGTGAGTTTTTAATATTCACACTAATCCAAGTTCTATCGGATGCATCGTCATTGTTCAATTGATTATTTTTTTCAAAAATGTAGGATTTCAAGCAGTATCTCCTATTCCTAGTGCACCACAGGATAGGCGTCTCCTCCTTGCCACACTCTTGGCGCGTCTTAATGCTAACAGCGATATCGACAACCACATGTTCCGTAAACTTTGTTATTTGTCAAAAGAGACGCCATTATCTGCTGGTGCCGAATCTGCTGATATTTGGGAAAATGGCGATCGGTTCTCGGAGTTAATTACTGCATTACTTGTGTTTTTGGAAAATCCACTACAGGTTTTATTTGCTTTACTAATTTGTATTTTTTTCAGTAAGAATACTGTTTCCTCAACAAAATTTTATCTATTTTAGAATAATTCTGAATTAAAAGAAAATGCACTGCAATTACTTCAGCAATTGCTGCTCAACCAAACTGAGTATGTGCAAGGCATGGAACGGGATCTTTTGCGTATACTGTTAGAGTGTCGCGCTGATCCGGCGAACAATGTAACTTTTGTCTTTTTTACTTTAAAACATATTTCTGTTGATATGTTAACTGAGAAATTTCTCAATGAACAAAACTCAGTTAATCACATAAAGTTTTGTTAAATTAATTTTGCTATATTTATTAATTTTATTTAAATAATAGGTATGTGGCAAAGTCGACGAAATTCTAGACACATACGTACAAATAGTAGACCCACTTCTTGGTCTCTATTCACTAATAGACATTATGGAATCTAGTCTACTAGGCAACAACGTGTTTGGAATGCCACCATCATCGCCTGTAAATAATAGTATTCTTATGATGAATAATAATAATAATGTTTCACGCGCAACTCCAAAAGGATCGGCATTTGTAGTGCTCGCGAAACTGGTGAAAAGATTTGATCAAAAGTCGCTGGAGAGACAAGTTGGCAGGATTTTGCCGTTAGCTATTCGGGTAATAATAATATTGATTTATTGTTAGTTTTTCCTTGCATATCGATTAACTATTTATATTGACGATGATAAATACTTTAATTTTAAAAAAATAAAAGGGATTCAATGACCCGAAAGCTGAGATTCGCAAATCAATAGTTGAAGCCCTTGTTTCTATATATTCTGTAATCGGTGATGATTCTACCATGTTCCAATACCTCAGCAGTCTTAACTCGTCACAACAGAATCTCATCAAATACTACTTTAAGCGCGCGTCGGTTAGCGCACATGGAATTCAAGTATAATGGATTGGTACGCTTTAAGGACAATTCGTTGTATGGGTTCAATCGGGAGATGTCGCGAGATCGAGTATATTAGATTTCGCAGCTACCTGAGTAGGGATTATTTCGTTCCTGCCTCACTATGTCTATTTAATTGTACTCTACCACTATCACTACGCGCATATCCCTAGAAAAGGGTATGGGTTTCTCGCGAAAGGGTTACCTAATAAATACCAATCAGGTAAATATAACCTGTCTACAAAGAACTTTGGACTATAAAAATATAATAAACATCAACAAACAACACTACCATCATCACCATTATTCATTACAAGATCCTCATAACTTTTTCTTTTGTAATCATGTATAAGAAATTCTCGTTTGTATTTATACACCCTTATATAGCCAATTATTTCTCACGTACACACACATACGTATATATATATATATATTTATATATTTATATAATTCAATCCTATCTTTTAAAAAATCTAATATTATTCTCAAGTTAATAATACCATTCATTAATTCACTCTTTATTTGATGAGACAAATTTTCATCATCATTAAACCGTTATTATTCGTATTATTAGACTTTTTCTACTTTATATATATACTTTACTTTCTCGCTCATTTATTATTATACTGCAATTATCTTAATTTACCTTAATATTTTTCAAAAGTCGACTTTTATTTGTATGTTCAACAAAAAAAAACATGAAATTGATCAAGAATAACTTTGTTGTATAGTGGCAGACAGCTTAAATCACATACTTTCAATTGTTTACAAAATATTATACAATACAGAATAATAAGATTACATTTCTGTAAGAGGATTCTTTTGTATAATGGTTCAAAAATTACATATTGATTTATAAAATGTAGCCAATCAAAAATGTGATGATTTCACGTGATTATAAGACAGCAGATCAAAATCGCGCAACACATTAAAAGTGAAAGCATGTTTTACTTAGTATTAGCTAGTATTAATAATGATTATAAATTTTTTTATTACTTGATTAATTTGAAATTTAAAATATGTATATAATTAAATTTTTCTAAATACAGTCAAATTTTTCTATAGTCACATTTATTTATAGTCATATTCCTCTATAATCATCCTATTTTGCTTTCCTATTTACATATAAACATAGTAAAAAAATCTCTTTATAATTACATTCTCTCTATAGTCACCAAATTTTGCTTTCCTGAGGGTGATGACTATAGAAAGATTTGACTGTATATATATTTCTATCATTTTTATGAACTTTAAGTTCTTGACATGTTATTCACATGTTTCTATTAACTAAAAGATGAAAGAGACTAAAAATTATTATTAAAGGTAAATAATATATATTCTTGTTGTGATGAGCTAAAATAATATCCAATAATTTCACTTAAACTTTTACTAAGTTTCTTTATAATTTTAAAGATAATAATAAGTCTTCCAAGTAACTGTCTTTTAAGTCAAATATAGCAATTAATTATTTAGTAGTGATTTATCTTTCAAGATCAAAACCAATATCAAATATAACTTTAATAAGCTATCTAACAAAAGATTTATTGAAGTGATAAGACTTTAGTTGAAGTGATTAGATTTATTTTCTAAAGCTAAAATACAAGTTGTATTTATAACAAATTATTGGATCTAATTTAGCTATTATATGATTTATCTTTAGTACTTTTGTTACTGTCATCACTTGGATCACTTTCATTACTAATACAGTCCAGTAAACTAAAAATGATTGCTGAAATAACATTATCTAATTAAATAATTTGCTGAAATTAACTTGCTAAAATTAAATTCAAAATTATTTTGACTTATTTTATTAGTAGCTGAAATTGTTTTCTGAAATTATTTGAATTCTACAAACCAAAAAAAGCATTTCTAAATGATTTTTAAGTATTCATTAATATAAGCAATATAGTAAAATCAAATTATTTGCTGAAATACCATTTTTTCAAAAATAATTTAGGAGATCATTTTTATAGTGAACTAATCATTAATAGCTCAAATCTTGTCCAATAATATTATTTCAACTATTATTCAATAAATTATTATTTAATTAATTTATAATATGAATATATCAATAAAATATAATTAAATATTCATATTATATTTATTTTTTATAAATATATGTTTTGGTTTAGTTTCAAGTATACAAAGATAAATTCCTAAACCAATAATATTTACAGTTAAACTTTTCTATAGTCATCTCATTTATAGTCACATCTCTTTATAATCACATTCTCTTTATAGTCATTAAATTTTGCTTTTCCGAGAATGATAATTATAGAGGGATTTAACTATATTTGTTATCTGTTTCAGCTATGAGATTTTAATAATTTAATATAACTTAAACTAAATAATATTTAGCATTATATAATTTTAAAATTTATTTTTATATTATTATAATTCAATATTTCTTATAATTAATTTTATATTTATATATTAATATTTAAAATAATCTTATTGAACAATAATAATTATTATCAGTATTTGAAATTTAATTTAAATTTCAATTTGAATTTTTATTCAAATTTCAATTCAAATTTTTATTTACTTTTCTGCAATACTGGTAATAATAATTTATATAAATATAAATAAGATAACTATTGCAAATATAAAAATAAAAAAATAAATATAAATACTATCTCTCTTAGTTTAGCAACACAAAAATTAAAATAATATAATATTTTTTTGGTATTTTCCAAATCTCAAAAATAATAACAAATAATAATACAAATAATAAATATGAATAATAAATAAAATATGAATAATAATTTTTTGTTAAGATAATATAATTAAAAAACCAAGATAATATAAGTTATAATCAAATTTTATTTAATATTATTAAAGAATATTTTTGTAAAATATAATTTAATAACTTTATAATGATTTTAAGCTAAGATATATGCTACTTATATATCTATTTCTATCTCAAAAAGAACTAATTAAAATTTAACACATTTTCATATATCACAAATAAAATATAATATTACTCTAATTTGTCAAGTATTATATATTTAAATTTGATGTCAATACAAATTAAAATACTATAGTACTTTTTTGTTATCATGCAATAAAACTAATTAAATATAATATATTACAAGATAGAAATAAACTCATACTAAATGATCTATATTGTTACTGTTTTGATGGGGCTTTCGAAATACTCAAAGATATTTATAAAATTTAAGGAATATTCAAAGGGAAACTTTCAATGTCTTAATGATAATTC